TGCATGAGGTCGGTGATGGAGGGGAAAAGAAGAGTCAAGGGAAAGAAGACAGAAATATTTTGGATGAAAGAGCCTTTGTGTAAGTCTTTTAGACCGATTCGAGAGTTTATCACGTACTTTAAACACGTGTTTACACACTTTAAACAGTGCACCAGAACTCGTGCGTTTACCAAAAAGCACAAACGAGGCTGATAGGGAGCCAAATTTAGAGAGATAAGGAACCAAATTTGAATGGAAACAACGAAAGCAAGGCTCATTTCCTGAACCGTTGCAAACTCCTAGCAAAACACTTTAGTGTAGAGATTTCGATGATAAGTGATCACTTGAAGGATATCGGAAAGGTTAAAAAAGTGGAGAAGTGGATAACTCATCAGTTAGACGAGAAGTTTTCAAGAATGGCTCAAATTCAAAGCCCAATTATCATCCAAAACTCTCACTAAAGCGTTAAGGCTGTCAACGTTGTCCTAACATTTGCAAAAACAGATTTAAAGAGATAAGGAAGATAAGATAAATAGCTTTTTGGGAACAGAACGGGATCTTAAATGGGATCTTTAAATGAGACCTTAATGATACTCTTATATTCTATTCTTCAACCGAACACTCCAGGTGATCGGTTGAAGAGTTTTTATGACGTAAATAGAAATGAATAAATACCGCAAATACTGTAAAAAAGTACTCCAGCTCCATAATGAAGGTGCGGGTGGTAGTCTAGCTGAACGAAGTTTTCTCGACACTGTTTATGAAAATGCTCGTTTAAATATCAAAAAATAGCCCTGAATTTCAGCTATTTTTGATATTTAAACGAGCATTGTAGCATAAACCAGTGTCGAGAAAACTCGTTCAAGCTAGACTACACAACACTCCGCACCGTCATTATGGGAGTGGGACACCGTCATTATGGGGGTATTACAGGATTTACGGTAAGTTGAATGAATGAAGAAAAGGTTTAAAGACGAAGAAAAGGTTTAAAGACGAAGAAACAAGCTCTCTTTAAGGATTTTCAGTAAAAGGATGGATTTTGACTTCAAATTTTTTTTTTCAAAGAATGGCCCAGTTTTTTCTTTCTGAATAGCTTTCGTGACATCCAGGATTCACAAAAATTCACAAACGATACCTTTATGTGTCTGTAAATTGCTTTCATAGTGCTCAAGGCATTCGGCTTCGGCGTTGTCGCTATGAACCGGCTCGGAATACCCGGAAACACCAGCCGCCATCGAGTACAAAATCGACATTCTGGATTAGTTTTTGAAATGATTAAAGAAAGAAAGAAAGAAAAGAAGATTTAAGGGAAGATCCAATGGAAGATTCAATGGAAAATCGAAAAGAAGATCCAATTGACAAATGGGAGAATTGAGCGAGCCAGACGGCTTGTGAAAACACAAGAACAAAGACAGATTTCTGTAGGATTTTATTGAAAATAAAAAAGAAAACGTAAAGACTGAGCAAATTAACAAATTGGGTATATGAATTGAACGAGAATTGAGCATTTAAGAATTGAGCAATTAAGGTAATCGTCAAAGCCAATCGACAAAGTCAATCGACAAAGCCAATCGACAAAGGCAATCGTCAATGTCAATCGAAATCTTCCCGGAAAAGTGATCGTAAGGAAAGTTCTTCAGGAATAAATTGATTGAAAAGAAAAGCGATGAAAAAAAAAAGAAACGATAATGGAAATATTGGGTTGGTGAATAAAGGGAAAAGATAGAGCTTGATTACTTAGCTAATACAATAGTTAATACAAAATTTCAGATAGTTAATACAATTCAAAATTTCAAAAACCGATAAGGATCAGGTTTTACCGCCAATTTTGTAGACGACCGCCTTTCCCTAAACGTCTTTCCTAAACGTCTTTCTTTCCCTAAGAGAATGACGATGTTTTAAAAAGCTAAAAAGCTGTTGTGCATGCCAGGAAGATAGAATATTGCACTATTTTTTTAAATGAGTAAGCAAATGTGGGTAAAAGACCAGGGGTAGTGAACGGCCCGATGATCCATAGGGACAGGTATAGAATGACGATGTTTTAAAACACTAAAAAAGCTGTTGTGCATGCCAGGAAGATAGAATATTGTAATACTTTTTTAAATGAGTAAGCAAATGTGGGTAAAAGACCGGGGTAGTGGACGGCCCAATGGCCCATCGGAACAGGCACAGAATGACGATGTTTTAAAAAAGTTAAAAAGCTGTTGTGCATGCCAGGAAGATAGGAATATTGTAATACTTTTTAAAATGAGTAAGCAAATGTGGGTAAAAGACCCGGGGTAGTGAACGGCCCGATGATCCATAGGGATGGGGGTACACACAGAAGAGAAAAGGGGTCGAATACGGCCTGTGACTGTCGTGTGAAAGGAAAAAAAGATGGAAAGATGGAAAAAGAATTGAGAGAATGGAGAGAAAGGGGGAATTGTGGATGGGGAAGTGAATGGTCAACACGTGGAAATGTTAGAGAAGAAAAGGAACCGTAGAGATTGAGGAAAAGGGGAGGAATAGAAGGGTTTTTGACAGAAAACAGCAAAAACAGTCCACTCTTTGTTTTTTTGAGTGAGGGCAATATGGATATTGGATTAGGGAAGGCAATGAAGCACTTGGCGAAACGGAGAAACGGCTCGGACTAGTATACTACTAGTACGTACTAGTACGGAGAAATGGCTCGTACTGATCGTTAGGCTCGACAGGGTTGATCGTAGAGCCAAATTTCCAGATCAGAATCAGGTCAGAACCAGGCTAACCAGGCTAACCAGGCTAACCAGGCTAACCAGGCTAACCAGGCTAACCAGGCTAACCAGGCTAACCAGGCTAACCAGGCTAACCAGGCTAACCAGGCTAACCAGGCTAACCAGGCTAACCAGGCTAACCAGGCTAACCAGGCTAACCAGGCTAACCAGGCTAACCAGGCTAACCAGGCTAACCAGGCTAGCCAGGCTAACCAGGCTAGCCAGGCTAACCAGGCTAGCCAGGCTAACCAGGCCAGAACCAGGCCAGAACCAGGCCAACCAGGCTAACCAGGCTAACCAGGCTAGCCAGGCTAACCAGGCTAACCAGGCTAACCAGGCTAGCCAGGCTAACCAGGCTAGCCAGGCTAACCAGGCTAACCAGGCTAACCAGGCTAACCAGGCTAACCAGGCTAACCAGGCTAACCAGGCTAACCAGGCTAACCAGGCTAACCAGGCTAACCAGGCTAACCAGGCTAACCAGGCTAACCAGGCTAACCAGGCTAACCAGGCTAACCAGGCCAAAATCAGGTCAGAACCAGGGTAAAACCAGGCCAGAACCAGGCCAACCAGATCAAAACCAGGCCAGAACCAGGTCAGAACCAGGCTAACCAACCTACCTGTCTCCTTTATGAGCCTGAGATTGGTTTGGGTGATCTTTGGTCCAAGACCAGGTCTAGAATTCGCCAGACTAGTGCCTAGACAGAGCCAACCCCGGACTAAGCCGTGTCTGGGCCTGGACTCGAGGGACTTCCAGGCTAATACCAGGCTAGGAAAACTAGTCCGAACCAGGCCAGAACCAGTCTGGAGTATGGATAGGTCTAGGCAGTCAAACCCGGCTAGGTCTAACGAAAAATTTGTATATAAAAGACGCCTGGTTCGAGGATCGACTCTGCCAGCTCATCTCGCCAACAGTCCAGACTCCGGAACTAAGTCCGGAGTCGGCTCTTTTTTGGTTTGGAGATCGGTTTTGGAAATTCCGCTGGAGAGAGCCTGGGAAAGTTTTAAAGGTTCCAGCTTAGCTAAGCGTACAATTAGTGTCAAGAATCCAGGGAAAAGGTTAAAAAATGATAAAAACCATTTAGGAGCCAGGGAAAACACAAAATTAAAATGTTGATACATCAAATCTACAAATCATAGCTGATACGATTGATGCACAGCTGTTTTACGAGTGTTATGCGAGTAGGACAAGGTAGAGATACAGATTAGGATAGTCTAGTACACGGGTGAAATATTGAACGATCGGTGAGGGTTGAGGGGTGGCGGGAGGCGCGCGAGTCACGGCCTTTTCTTTCTCTTGTCCGCCTTGTTCCCCTGTTCCCCTGTGCTCCCCCTCTTAGCCTCTTCACCCATTAGACGAATACGATCAGACGAATACCACTAGACGAATACCACCAAAATCCCCAGCATCTTTAGTCCTCACTAGTCCTACTTATCTAAAAGTCCTACCCATCTCATAGCCCTATCCATCTCACAGTCCTATCCATCTCCATTTCTGAGATTCGCACAAGGGCACAAGCCGTTCCTTACTTATAAGCCTAGCATAATAGCCTAGCAAATAAAAAAACTAAAATGAGACTGACAGAGAAAGACAAGACTGGACAATAAAAAGAAGAGGAACTTCGAAATTTCATTGAAATTTCGAAGTTCCTGCTATTTTTGATGATTCAGAAGCACCAGAGACAACAGAAAAACATTTCGGTATAGCTTTTTTGAGTGAAAGGTTGCAGCTAAAGATTAGCGCGTTCCCTGTTCTTCCCTGTTCCCCTTTTCCGAATACCACCACACCCTCATCTCCTTTTTTGCTTTCTGGCGGTCTCTCTTTAGTTCTTTTACCCTTCTTTTTTGTTATCCCTGCAGGGAAACCCTCCTCTCAAATGTGCGCTTTGTTGTCTTCCCTTTTTCTTGTCTTCCCTTTTATCCATTTTTCTTACCTCCAGTCTCTTCTTCTCTTCCAGATTTATGGGCAAAGCCTATGCCCGTAAATCTCATTCCTGAGATTTGCATATTCTAGAGGCTAAAGTGAGTCTCTAGAATGTTTTTTCTAGAATGAGACTCCTTTAGCCTCTAGAATATTTAAACGGCTTAGGCATACAGTAGTGTTAGGCGTAAAGAATGGAAAGTAATCTGTCACTAGACGATATTCGGCTGTCCGTTTGTTGTAGCTTGTATACTTAAAAAACCCCGTTTTTTAAGCTTGGCTTTTGAGTGAGTTTTTGTTCTCCTTTTTTTTTGCTTCTTATCATCTACATGCAAGTGTTGAATTAATTGTGATAGTGCCAGGTTGCTTCAGTTTGAGCGAAGTTGCCCTAATAAGGGAAAGTTGGATAAATTGTGCCTTTTCAAGAAGGCCACTATTGAACCACACCGAGACACGGTCTCACAAGAAATTATATAGATCAAAACATAAACATATATTTCTTACAAATGGCAAGGAATGGAAGGGAATGGAAAGGAATGGAAAGGAATGGAAAGGAATGGAAGGGAATGGAAGGGAATGGAAAGAAATGGAAGGGAATGGAAAGGAATGGAAGGGAATGGAAAGGAATGGAAAGAAATGGAAGGGAATGGAAGGGAATGGAAAGGAATGGAAGGGAATGGGAAGGAATGGAAAGGAATGGAAAGGAATGGAAAGGAATGGAAGGGAATGGAAAGGAATGGAAGGGAATGGAAAGGAATGGAAAGAAATGGAAAGAAATGGAAAGGAATGGAAAGGAATGGAAAGGAATGGAAAGGAATGGAAGGGAATGGAAAGGAATGGAAGGAATGGAAAGGAATGGAAAGGAATGGAAAGGAATGGAAGGGAATGGAAGGGAATGGAAGGGAATGGAAGGGAATGGAAGGGAATGGAAAGGAATGGAAGGGAATGGAAAGGAATGGAAAGAAATGGAAAGAAATGGAAAGGAATGGAAAGGAATGGAAAGGAATGGAAGGGAATGGAAAGGAATGGAAGGGAATGGAAAGGAATGGAAAGGAATGGAAGGGAATGGAAAGGAATGGAAGGGAATGGAAAGGAATGGAAAGGAATGGAAAGGAATGGAAGGGAATGGAAGGGAATGGAAGGGAATGGAAGGGAATGGAAAGGAATGGAATGGAATGGAAGGGAATGGAAAGGAATGGAAAGAAATGGAAAGGAATGGAAGGGAATGGAAGGGAATGGAAGGGAATGGAAAGGAATGGAATGGAATGGGAAGGAATGGAAAGGAATGGAAAGGAATGGAAAGGAATGGAAAGGAATGGAAGGGAATGGAAGGGAATGGAAAGGAATGGAAAGGAATGGGAAGGAATGGGAAGGATATTGAGCAAAACAAAGCAGTAGAGCAAAGCAAATTCTCCAAAAAATGAACAGTCATTTTCTGGGAAAGAGATTTTAAAAGAAAAAAGGTAACAAAAAAATCTCTGCGAAAGATTTGTGTTTGATTTGCTTTTGGCAAGAAAAGAAAAAGGCTTAAAAAGGCTTGAAAAAGACTTTTTTAAGGCTTTGTTATCTGATACTTTGGCCAAAAATGGATTAAGAATGGAAAAGAAGAAAAATTAAAGAAAAGAAGAAAAACTGAAGAAAAGAAAAAGAAAATTAAGTGTTTTGCAAACACTTAATTCCTAGCAGTTTGAGATTCGACTTCAAATTGAGATTTGCTTTGCTAGAAGGCTCAAAGGCTTTGAACAGTACACGCTCGAAGGCTTTGAACAGTACACGCTCGAAGGCTTTGAACAGTACACGAAGAGAAGATCGAATTCTTTCGGCATTTACATAAAAAAATCTTGTCCTTAAATGGATTAAAGAAAACGGAGGCGCTGAACGATTTGCATAAATTGTATAAATGAATCAAGAAAAACAATAGCTATAAAGTTTTCTATTCGGGAGAGAGAGCTACAGAGCCACTTTTGAGAGCTACAGCTGCAGTCTCGCAAAGAGCTGCAGTCCCGCAAAGATCTACAGTCTCGCAAAGATCTACAGTCCCACAAAGAGCTACAGTCCCACAAAGAGCTACAGTCTCGCAAAGAGCTACAGTCTTGCAAAGAGCTGCAGTCCCGCAAAGATCTACAGTCTCGCAGAGCTGCAGTCCCGTAAAGATCTACAGTCCAGCAAAGAGCTACAGTCTCGCAAAGATTTACAGTCTCGCAAAGAGCTGCAGTCCCGCAAAGATCTACAGTCTCGCAAAGATCTACAGTCCCACAAAGAGCTACAGTCCCACAAAGAGCTACAGTCTTGCAAAGAGCTGCAGTCCCGCAAAGATCTACAGTCTCGCAGAGCTGCAGTCCCGTAAAGATCTACAGTCCAGCAAAGAGCTACAGTCTCGCAAAGATCTACAGTCCCACAAAGAGCTACAGTCCCACAAAGATCTCCAGTCCCACAAAGAGCTACAGTCCCGCAAAGAGCTACAGTCGCCTGGTGATTTTTTCTACAGTTTCCACGGCTTCAAACTTGAGTTATCATCACATTCAAAACCATACATTTATATCATTCAACATCTACTCCTTGTTATTCTTGGTAAATCTGTCATTTGTAACATAAATTTTCACACCTGCAATCGAGTGCAATGAGTAGGACGAGAGCCGCTGTTGTGCATCGATTCCACCGCTCATCTGACGAATGTCATCATAGGCACGGAGTGGAGAAGTGGGTGAATGAAGAAATCTGAGAATTGGATGAGTGAGTGGTGATTGAATGGTGGATGAATGGTGAGTGAATGGTGATTGAATGGTGGATGAATGGTGAGTGAATGGTGAGTGAATGGTGAATGATAATTGGGTGAATGAATGAATTTCATTGAAACATACATTGAACAATGTTAGATTTAAACTTTAACACCAAAGCTCTTATCAGATTTTATTCTAAAGTGTACTCAGTAAAATGGAAATATCTTTTTCTTATCTTGAAGGGCTCAAACAAAACAAAACAAAGATATCTACCTATTCAAATGGTTATTTTAGTCTAATCTAATCATCTAGTCTAATAATCTAATCTAATAATCTAGTCTAATAATCTAGTCTAATACTAGACCAATCTAATGACTCCTTTTGACACTAATGACTCTTTTTGGTGTGTCTTTTTGGTCTGTCTGTCTGTCTGCTCAATGACAAAGCTGATCCGGAAACGTGACCAGGCTTACAAGCTCTAGCTAGATCAGGCTTGCTTAGCAGGAGTGTTCCAATCCCTTGCTTGAGCTGTATAAGTCGGGCCAGATCGGTCAGATCAGTTTCAGAGTAAAACTAGGACATGGCCTAGCCAAATAAGATGGTTTGACCTTGACCTAGATAGACTAGACTGGCTAGACTAGACTGGCTAGACTGGCTAGAATAGACTGGCTAGACTGGCTAGACTGGCTAGACTGGCTAGACTAGACTGGCTAGACTAGACTGGCTAGACTAGACTGGCTAGACTAGACTGGCTAGACTGGCTAGACTGGCTAGACTAGACTGGCTAGACTGGCTAGACTAGACTGGCTAGACTGGCTAGACTAGACTGGCTAGACTGGCTAGATTAGATTGGCTAGACTGGCTAGACTGGCTAGACCTGTTAGATCGGATTTGACGGTACTATATGTTATTCAAAATTTAAACCGCACCTCCTTCTCTCCTCTCGTTCCTGAATCGAGACTCTTGATGAAGAGAAATGAGTCAATCCATTGCCAGAAACGAGTGACGAGCTTCGTTGCGGAATTGACGGTGGAGTGGATAAATGAAATGGAGAAGGAGAGGTGAATGACGGGGTGACCGAGGTGATCGCGGTTCTTTGAATTGATTGACTGTTGTTTGGTTGTGGGGTGCCCGGGTAATCACGCCAAGACATGCTATCTGAAAAGAAAAAACAAATGAGTTAATGCACTTCAAACAGAAATTAGTTAGATTGAATTTAAAGTGATGTTAAAGAAAGAAAAAGCACGTGGACATTGTAGCAATAGCTGCCCGACTATAACATTTTGAGTTGACAGTTTGACAAGGTTTAGTTTAGTCAAAAAGGAATCGAGAATCCAGGAATTCACTCTATAATAGGCAAAGTATAGTTTAGTCAAAGAGTACTCCAGAAATTCACTCCGTAACATTACTGTTTCCATGACAAAACAAAACATGACATTATTTCTAGAAAGTATTCAGATAAATGATGAAAAATTGAGGTTGAGCTTTGAATTGAACTTCTAAAACTAGTTACTAGGTTGATGCAAAAGAAGCTTTGATTATTTACAAACATTAAATTAAATCAAGAGTCCTTTAGGTAACAATTTCTTCTAAACAGCAGAATAAATTGCAGAATAAACAAAAGCATCATCGTTATCTATAACATCTCTCCAACATTGCTTTGACTCCCTTATCAAAGAGCTCTTGATTTTGTGATTGAATAGAGTCGGTCAGCCAAAACTCGACCTTTTGCGCATTTTGAAACTCGCAATTCGCAAGGAAACGTTGCATCGTCTGAAGAAGTGAAAATCAGATGGTGATAAGTGGACTATATGGCCCATCGATCGCTGCCGAGTGATGCTCATGTGACTCGTCCTCAACATTGCTTTGACTCCCTTATCGAAGAGCTCTTGATTTTGTGATTGAATAGAGTCGCTCAGCCAAAGCTTTCTTGCTCTTGCGATCTCTTGCGCATTCTGAAACTCGCAATTCGCAAGGAAACGTTGCATCGTACCTTTAGGTAACAATTTATTCTAAACAGCAGAATAAACAAAAGCATCATCGTTATCTATAACATCTCTCCAACATTGCTTTGACTCCCTTATCGAAGAGCTCTTGATTCTGTGATTGAAGAGAGTCGGTCAGCCAAAACTCGACCTTTTGCGCATTTTGAAACTCGCAATTCGCAAGGAAACGTTGCATCGTCTGAAGAAGTGAAAATCAGATAGTGATAAGTGAACTATATGGCCCATGCGGACTATATGGCCCATCGATCGCTGCCAAGTGATGCTCATGTGGCTCGTCCACAAGAGATTCAATACCATCGATCGCTGCCGAGTGATGCTCATGTGGCTCGTCCTCAAGAGATTCAATACCATCGATCGCTGCCAAGTGATGCTCATGTGGCTCGTCCTCAAGAGATTCAATACCATCAATCGCTGCCGAGTGATGCTCATGTGGCTCGTCCTCAAGAGATTCAATACCTTCTCGGAATCGGACAAACCAACTCTTCCATATACGAAGCTTTCGCTGTGTGCTGTGTTACGGAGAAAATTAACAGTCGAGAGATTGAAACCCTTTTCACGCAAAATTTCGTCAAACTTCTTGAGCTGTTGAATAAAAAAAGGTGATTCAGCACTTTGATTCAACTGTTTTTCCGGGCTCTAATAATTCGAAATAAACAATATCGTTGATAATATCGTCCGTTGATATTTCAAGCAAGACAACATCACTTTCTGCCCATGAAAATCCGGCTTTGGAGTTGGAATTGGGCATTTGACCTTTGCTGAGCCATTGCCTTTTTCGAGAAGTGCAGCAAAGTGTAGCAGTGTAGCAAAGCAAATCCAATTCTTGTCTATCGCCAAGATATTCAAAAGAATGGCTTCTTTTCTAGCTTCTTTTTGACTTGAGCTTCTTTCCTGGCTTCTTTTCGACTTGAGATCTGGCTGATCGAAACGCGTGCTTTCAGATTCTCGATGTTCAATTCATTTGGAACCCATCGTCCATTACGATTGTCGCAAAAATAGCTCGATATCTCCACCCATTCTCCATAAAACTTCTTTTTGGGGGGGCTATCTGTCATTTGGTTTGACTCAAAATGGGAGCGGGACAAATGCGACCTTTTTTTTTTGCGCATCCGGACATTTTCGCACCTTTTTTTCTACACTTAGCCCATTAGCGCACCTTTTTTCGCGTTTTAAAAAGCTCTAAAAGCTAATGTTAACCAATTTCTATTCCAAAACTTGTTTTTCTAGGTAATTTTAGGGCGTAGAATCGAAATTTTGACATAACAGAGCGTGTATATAACATAACATAAGCTAATATTAATCAATTTGAAAGACTAGGTCAAATTACAGAAAATTGTTCATTTTTCTCTTTGTATGACTCCGTCCGTTCGCTTCCACAAGCTCTGAAATGCCAAAATCTCGATTCTACGCCCTAAAATTACCTAGAAAAACAACTTTTGGAATAGAAAATGGTTAATATTAGCTTTTAGAGCTTTTTGCTTTTTTAAAACGCGAAAAAAGGTGCGCTAATGGGTTAAGTGTAGAAAAAAAGGTGCGCAAATGTCCGGGTGCGCAAAAAAAAAAGGTCGCATTTGTCCCACTCCCCTAAAACCTATAGATAAATAAAGAAAACGATGTATTCTAGCATTATTCTAAAAGATTTAGGGCTAAAAGAAGGGCTTAAAAGAAAGGAAAACCAAGAAAGGAAACCCCAAAAAAAGAAAGAAACAGAATCTCAGAGAAAACAGAGTCAAAAATGTATTCTGAAGTAGCAAATCGATTGTTTTGTGGACTTTTTTTGGGCGTGGATCGACGGAATGGTGATTAGACTTGGAGAAATCAGTTGGAAGTGGTAAGAAAAAGGCAAAAAGGGGAGGAAAGGAGAGGAAAGGGGAGGAAAAAGGGAGAAAAAGAGTAAAAAAGAGGGATTTTGTGAACGAAATTTGAAAACGTTGAAAGAAATTTAGCATTGGAAAAGAAATTTGGCGTTGGAAAAGAAAAATTTGTTGCTTTTCGGGGCTTATCAAAGCTTTTGGAGAGGCTGGCAGGCTGTGATGACTCATTTTTCCGTCAGAAAATCACACTTTTCAAGTCATTTACAACTCAAATCTTGTGTTTATGATGGAATTTTGGTCATTTTCACCTAATTTCCGGTGATTTTACGAGTTTTTAACAAAAAAAAATAGGTTTATAGTAAAAAAAGAGGGTTTTTTCGGATTCCAATATGGTTCCAATGTGGTTCCAATGTGGTTCGGATACGGTACCAATATGTTTCCAATATGGTTCCAATATGGTTCCAATATGGTTCGGATACGGTTCCAATATGGTTCCATATGTTTCCAATATGGTTCCAATGCGGTTCCAATATGTTTCCAATATGGTTCCAATATGGTTCCACTATGGTTCCAATACGGTTCCAATGCGGTTCCAATATGTTTCCAATATGGTTCCAATATGGTTCCACTATGGTTCCAATACGGTTCCAATATGTTTCCAATATGGTTCCAATATGGTTCCAATACGGTTCCAACATGGTTCCAATATGGTTCCAATATGGTTTGGATACGGTTCCAATATGGTTCCATATGTTTCCAATATGGTTCCAATATGGTTCCAATATGGTTCGGATACGGTTCCAATATGGTTCCAATATGGTTCCAATATGGTCCCAATATGGTTCGGATACGGTTCCAATATCTTTCCAATATGGTTCCAATATGGTTCGGATACGGTTCCAATATGGTTCCATATGTTTCCAATATGGTTCCAATACGGTTCCAATATGTTTCCAATATGGTTCCAATATGGTTCCAATATGGTTCCAAGTAGCTTAGATTTAGCAAAAATCAGATCAAATTCATGCTTGAAAACAACTCCTAGACATTTTCAGACTAGGAGAACATTTCCCAAAAGAAATAACTGAAAAAAAAATCGGAAAATTGATCGACACGGGATCGAACCCTCGAGCTTTCGCGTCTCAGCCGATTGCCGACCAAGCGGTGACCCACTGCACCACGCCACCATGGTGCAGTGGGTTTAGAGGCGAGTCGTCGTCAGTCGTCAGAAGGCAAATGGTCGCTGGTTCGACCCCCGGTCAGGCCAGAAAGATGCGAAAACTTTTACAAAATCAAGAATTTCAATAGGAAATCGATATTTCACCGTATTTTGTTCAATTTCAAGCAGAAAACTTCCAGAAAATCAGTGAAAATCAGTGAAAATCTGGGGGAATTTCATTTGAAAGCCGCTTATCACCAGAAAGAGCCTCTTTTTTGTTAAAAAAAGCGGGGAAAGAAGAAAGTTGGTAAGTGATTTAAAATATAGCTGAAAAGGGATAGAAAATTTAATTTTGAATGATTTTAATGAGAATTTGAATGTGCAGCTGTGTGTGAAAGAGGAAAAATGACTCATTTTTCTCAAAAGAATGGTTTTTTTTCTGAAAAAAAGCAAAAAATGGAAGAAAATGGGGAAAATTGCGAAATTTTATAGACAAACTAATGAAAAACGAAGAAAAATAGAGGGTTTTGGCCATTTTTCCTTCAACTTTCGCCGTTGCCAACCTTGGCTTGGCAAGCTGGAAATTTTTGTTGAGTTGCCAACTTTGACAGCGCATAACTTTGCCTAGAGACAATATTATCTTTAGTTCTTTATTTCATTGCATAGAGGAGATTTTAGGCTTTCGAATGATATTAAAAAGATTTTGATGGGATTATCCGAACTTGAGAAAATCAAGGAAGAAAACGCTCGAGTCCGTCACAGCGCTCTCCCTATTTAGCCTCTATTTTCTCCGGATTCCCTAATCCAATCAAGCTGAATTTGATATCATTCGAAAGCCTGTAATCTCAGCTATTCAATGATATAAATAGTTAAGAACATTACGATCTCTAACTAAAGTTATGAACGATCAAAACCAACTGCTGATTCAAAAAGCCCAAGAGCCTGCCAAGAGCCCAGCCAGCCAAGTAAAAAGTGATTATCTTTTATAAAACTCACCCAATTCCTCATAGAGATCTCCATCTTCCGTAGATTTTGTCGATTTTTCAGTTCCAATCGTCGAAATTTGCGGTTTTTCATCGAAAACCGGGATTGGCGGCGGTTTTCGATGAGTGGTGACTTGTTGTGAGTGCTGGGATTCAATCCATCTGAAAAAAAGAATTTAAAGAATCAATCTGGATGTCACCGACTTTATTGCAACTATTCAATATATCTGAAATGCAAATTTTCAGTATCGATCTCTGTACCTTAGTGTTGACAGTCTGTGTTCAGTACTATCTGAAATAGCAGTACTGTGCTCGTTTAAGGTTGTTCATAGTACTCTTGCGTACTGCTAGGTGTTACTGTGCCTGCCAGGTTAGATTATCGAACTGTACTGTTAAACTGTACTCGTTACTGTATCTGTAGCTATTATAGTACAAGTAAAATCCCCTAGCTAAGTACAGTACTCTTTGGCTTACACAAGAGTATTGATAGGGTACAGTACCTGGATGAGGGTACAGTACCTGGATGAGGGTACAGTACCTGGATGAGGGTACAGTACCTGGATGAGGGTACAGTACCTGGATGAGGGTACAGTACCTGGATGAGGGTACAGTACCTGGATGAGGGTACAGTACCTGGATGAGGGTACAGTACCTGGATGAGGGTACAGTACCTGGATGAGGGTACAGTACCTGGATGAGGGTACAGTACCTGGATGAGGGTACAGTACCTGGATGAGGGTACTGTACCTGTCCCAGGGTAGAGTATCTGTCCCAGGGTTCAGTATCTGTCCCAGGGTACTGTACCTGTCCCCGGGTACAGTATCAGTCCCAGGGTACTGTACTTGTCCCAGGGTACTGTAGTTGTCCCAGGGTACTGTACTTATCCCAGGGTACTGTACTTGTCCCAGGGTATTGTAGTTGTCCCAGGGTACTGTACTTATCCCAGGGTACTGTACTTGTCCCAGGGTACTGTACCTGTCCCGGGTTACAGTACCTGTCCCAGGTTACAGTACCTGTCCCAGGGTACAGTATCTGTCCCAGGCTACAGTACTTGTCTCAGGTTTCCTCAAAACATCGAATATTTTCTTATTTTATGCAAATTTCAATTCAAACCTCTCCATTTCGCCTTTATCTTTCGTTCTTTTCCTCCCCGAATCCCCATGTCGCTCATTTCGGCGTTTCTTTGAGTTCGATCGACTGATTGAGTGAAAACACTCGAGAGAACCGGCACTGAAAAGACGACTAAGTTATAGTTGTGCAAATTTCGATAACAGATAACATTCGATAACAGATAACATTCGATAACAAAAAACAATTCTTACACATAATGATAGTGCACAACGGGTGTGTCTCCGTGAAAATCGCTTTCTTTCAGCGGTGGTCCTCCATTTGCTCGAGTCAGCAAATGCTCGCAACGATAGCGCTCCTCTTCTTCGTAACTGAAAAGAAAAGTGGAATTGAAAATCGGTTTAAAGTTAATTCCTCTTGTACTCGGTCAGAGCAGAAGCAAGCATTGGTACTCAAAAATTGACCAGTCAGAGGTCAGGCTCTGGCTTAGGCTTGGGCTTGGGCTTAGGCTTAGGCTCAGGCTTAGGCTTAGGCTTAGGCTTAGGCTTGGGCTTAGGCTTAGGTTTCTCTTTGTCTGACTCTGGGGGCTAGTTTTACTGTTGAGTGACTTGGTCTAATGCAGGAAAAGTATCTTTCCAGTTCAGGATTTGAGCTAGCTTCTGGCCAACTGAATTGGCTTCTAGCCAACTGAAGTTCAAGTGGTGCTACTGTTAAACTTGATCTGATTTTGATTTAGAGAAATGACACCCTTATATCAGATGCTACAATGGATTGCTTGCAGGTTCAGGCTCTGGCTTAGGCTGAAGCTTAGGCTTAGGCTAAGGCTTAGGCTTAGGCTCAAGCTCAGGCTCAGGCTTAGGCTTAGGCTTAGGGCTTAGGCTCAGGCTCAGGCTTAGGCTGAAGCTTAGGCTTAGGCTTAGGCTTAGGCCTAGGCTGAGGCTGAGGCTCAGGCTCAGGCTTAGGCTGAAGCTTAGGCTTACGCTTAGGCTTAGGCTTAGGCTTAGGCTTAGGCTTAGGCTCAAGCTGAGGCTGAGGCTCAGGCTCAGGCTTAGGCTGAAGCTTAGGCTTACGCTTAGGCTTAGGCTTAGGCTTAGGCTTAGGCTCAAGCTCAGGCTCAGGCTCAGGCTTAGGGCTTAGGCTTAGGCTCAGACTTAGGCTTAGGCCCAGGCTCAGGCTTAGGCTTAGGCTTAGGCCCAGGCTCGGGCTTAGGCCCAGGCTCAGGTTCAGGCTTAGGCTGAGGCATGATTACAATGCTTACTTCTGTTCTACCTACAGCAACACAAAAGTAACCTAATGAATCTTCTAATGAAAATCACAAACTAGTGTTTGGTGGTGTACTGTACCTCGTTTTTGTGGCATTTGTCGAGGCGGACGAGTGATGACTTCGGAATGACGAGACAAGGACTCCGCGTCCCTTCGTCAGCCCCTTTTCATCCAAAAGATTTCCTTTCTGAAAAATAGGTTTGTAGAAGCCTTAACTGAAAGACTATATGATTTTAATGGATGAACCTGATAAATCGCTGTTGTACTGAACTCTTCGGGCAATCGGGCAGTTTTTACCGTTGAAAAGACATCATTTTGATGATCTAAAGACATCAGTTAGTGAGCACGTGACTGTTATAACTTTTACAAACTGTTATAACTGTTGCAAATGACTGTTACGCATGCTTATTACCTCTAACATGCGTGTGTTGTCGATGCTGTTGTTTGAGTACAGTGGAGTGAAGACTTTGCGAGCTGGCTGTCCGAAGCGGCGTTTTCGGTGGCTCGCGTTCTAAAGAAAAAATAAGATCAAAGTAAGACAGCGATTTAGTAGAAAAAACTTTAGTAAAAAAAGCTTTTCTGTGCTAAAATGAATCGATTGAATGAAGGAATCGATTGAATGAATGAATGCGCGCAATAGAAACAGGTGCTTAATTGCAAAAACTAGAGCACATCGGGCTAAATCTAGAAACGATCATTTTTCTTTGATCTAGATGCTGTGTAAGCACTAGTGTCTGGTCTAGAGGTCTAGATGATCTAGATGCAAGCACCCAGGCCATAGCCTGTTCCGTAAATTTGCCTACTTTTAAACAATTTGAATCAGAATCAATCAATCAATCAAAATCAATCAATCACTCTCAAAATCAATTTGAATAACCAAAAATCTATATTCTGAAAACCAACCAATCGCAATATGATGCACGAATTCTCTCGGTTCACTCTTTCTCGTGGCGCGCGTCGTGAATTCGATCGTCGCATAGCGATCATGTGATGAGGAACGGGGACGAATTTGCTGGAAAACAATTTTGGAGAATCAGTGAAACAACAATTTTAGAGATTTTGTCAGTTAAACAGTTTTCTCCCCAAACCTCGTAGTGATATGCGTGTCTTTCCCCTGAATTCCCGGCGTTCACGAATTCCTCGTAGTGGTGCTCGTTTGGGTGCGGGTTTTGATTGATTGGATTCGAGTTTCTGTTTTCGTCTTCCTACAAGAATTATATTTGTAGCCGATTAAGTTAAACGGCCAGCCGGCTTAGTAAGTTAGTCGGCCAGCCGGCTTAGCAAGTTAATCAGCTAGCCGGCTAGCTAGTTGATCGGCTAGCCGGCTAGCAAGTTGATCGGCTAGCCGGCCTAGCTAGTTGATCGGCTAGCCGGCTAGCAAGTTAATCGGCTAGCCGGCCTAGCTAGTTGATCGGCTAGTCGGCTTAGCAAGTTAGTCGGCCAGCCGGCTTAGCAAGTTAATCAGCTAGCCGGCTAGCTAGTTGATCGGCTAGCCGGCTAGCAAGTTGATCGGCTAGCCGGCCTAGCTAGTTGATCGGCTAGCCGGCTAGCAAGTTAATCGGCTAGCCGGCCTAGCTAGTTGATCGGCTAGCCGCCTAGCTAGTTGATCGGCTAGCCGGCTAGCAAGTTAATCGGCTAGCCGGCTAGCAAGTTAATCGACTAGCCGGCTTAGCAAGTTAGTCGGCCAACCGGCTTAGCTAGTTGATCGGCTAGCCGGCTAGCAAGTTAATCGGCTAGCCGGCCTAGCAAGGTAGTCGGCTAGCCGGTCGGCTAGCTAGTCGGCCAGCCGCCATTGATCGGCCAGCCGCCATTGATCGGCCAGCCGCCATTGATCGGCCAGCCGCCATTGATCGGCCAGCCGCCATTGATCGGCCAGCCGCCATTGATCGGCCAGCCGCCATTGATCGGCCAGCCGCCATTGATCGGCCAGCCGCCATTGATCGGCCAGCCGCCATTGATCGGCCAGCCGCCATTGATCGGCCAGCCGCCAGCTTCATGGTCTTTTGATCAAGGCCATGAAGCTAATCAAACTCGAACCAGCCTTGACCCTGAGCCTGTTAGGGATCTGGCCGGGATCTGACTTAGATCTGGCGCTGATTCAAACTCGAGAACTAAAGCCTAACTAGAACAGTCATCTAGTATTCAAAATCTTTCATTTAGATTCAGATTTTTAAAACTCACCGAATTTTTTCGTTTCCAAAAGCGCGCGTCGCCGCTTTTAAACGAGAAATAACGGGGCATTGCTGCGAAAAAAAATGGATTTATCTAAAAAAATCGATTCTAGAAAGATATAAATCGAAAAATAACAAAGATTGAATATATAAGAAGAGAAAAACATTGAAAAACATTATTTTACTGTTGATTTACAATGCTTTGACGATCAGTGAAAGCCGAGGAAATAAACCGTAATGTAAATCGATGTAAATAGATGTAAATAGATGTGCACAAAGGTTGTTCTATTTGCAAAAAACAAAACAAACTTGTAATTAGTGGTCCAATTAGTCCAATCTCGCAAACATAGAGTGGGGCTTAAATCAATTTGGGCTTAAATCTGTATTCTGCCTGGCGCACTAACCAGTCTTGTCAACTTTCCGGTTCAATTACCCAACACAGCTTTGGATGGCTGTTGGGTAAGTAAACCGGGTAGCCAGGTACAGCACTGGACAATGAAATATCATATTTGAAAAACTGTCGTCACTTTCGCGCGTCTGTAACTCCATTGTCTTTGAGTTTAAACTATTAGTGTTATACATTTTCTGAAAGCTCTTTTCAAGGGCTACACAGTGATAATATTAATATTAAGAAATACGGTAAAGACAAGAGAGTTACAGGCGCGTGAAAGTGATGATCGTTTTTTAATATGATTTTTTCAAATATGATATTTCATTGTCCATTAGTGTAGGGAGAGCTAAGATAGACCAAATCAGAGCTCCAGCGCTCCAGAGTTCCAGCGTTCCAGCTCCAGAGCTCTGGAGCTCTAGTAGCTCCAGCTCCTGAGCTCCAGAGATCCGGGGTCCAGAGTTCCAGAGCTCCAGAGCTCCAGAGCTTCAGTAGCTCTAACTCCAGAGCTCTACTAGCTCCAGCTCCTGAGCTCCAGAGATCCGGAGCCCTAGTAGCTCCAGCTCCTGAGCTCCAGAGCTCCAGAGATCCGGGGCTCCAGAGTTCCAGAGCTCCAGAGCTTCAGTAGCTCTAACTCCAGAGCTCTATTAGCTCCAGCTCCAGAGTTAAGTTACTTAGTTAAATCCTATCCTCGAAGTACAGTACTGGACAATGAAATATCATATTTGAAAAACGATCGTCACTTTCGCGCGTCTGTAACTCCATTGTCTTTGAGTTTAAACTATTAGTGTTATACATTTTCTGAAAGCTCTTTTCAAGGGCTACACAATGGTAATATTAATATTAAGAAATACGGTAAAGACAAGAGAGTTACAGGCGCGTGAAAGTGATGATCGTTTTTTAATATGATTTTTTCAAATATGATATTTCATTGTCCATTAGTGTAGGTAGAGCTAAGATAGACCAAACCAGAGCTCCAGCGCTCCAGAGTTCCAGCTCCAGAGCTCCGGAGCTCTAGTAGCTCCAGCTCCTGAGCTCCAGAGCTCCAGAGCTCCAGCTCCAAAGTTCTCCAGAGTTCCAGCTCCTGAGTTCCAGCTCCAGAGCTCCGGAGCTCTAGTACCTTCTTTTCAACTTTCTAAATAATAAAAAAACAATAAAATAAACAAAAAACAAGCAAAAAACAAGCAAAAAACAATAAAATAAACAAAAAGCTTTGTGTTAACTGAGAATTGGACGAAAAATCGAGTCCGATTGAAGGGGGAAGGATCGAGAGTGGACATTGCAATGGAGAAGTGGAGGAAAAGTGAGAAAGGGAAGGGAAAAAGGGAAAAGGGAAAAGACACAAAAAGTGAGGAAAAAGTCAAGAGGACACATTTTATAGACAAAGAAGAGTCAAAGAAGAACAGGAGAATGGGTGAATGGAAAGAACGGGTGGATTGAAAGAACGGGAGGAGTGGGGACAGTTGGCCTACACTTGGAAGAGTGGGGGTCAATCTCCTTGCTTTTCCCGTACCAAAGGAGTACTCCTTTCACTCCTTTGATACTCTTTTCACCCCTTTGATCTCTAGATGCTAGTTATTTCGTCATAATTATGATTAATGTTTCTTTTAAATAACTTCAGAGGTTTCTTTTTGAATTAGCTTTTTTGGAATTAGCTTTTTTTAATTAGCTTAGATTGGGATTTCTAGTGTTAATGAAATCAAAAGAAGACGCGCAACAGAAAGTTTTAGCTTTACTTTAGGTGTCCAGGGTCCAGGTCCTCAAGGCCCAGGCCCAGGCCCAGGTCCACCAGGCCCAGGCCCAGGTCCACCAGGCCCAGGACCAGGTCCACCAGGCCCAGGACCAGGTCCACCAGGCCCAGGCCCAGGTCTCTGTGCCTGGGTCCACAAGACTTTCTGTGCATCGCAAATCAATCATTCAACTTCATAAGGACGATATCCGACATTTCTTAGCGATTTCTTAGCGACTGAACGTTTCCAAAAAACCTGTATCAACCACTATTGCACTTCTGGAATTTGGGAATTGGCAACCACTTCTGAAAAGGAATTGAGAACCACTTCTGATCGTCAGAGACGAAGGAGAAAGCATACGGTGATCTACAAAGTGATCTACGATCTACGTGATCGTGATTATCAATAGTGTACTTGATCGTGAACCCACGTCACTCCATTCCCAAGATGGTCGCTCATGTTGACTCATGTTGACCATCTTCATCTCCAATCAAGGGCCATCTTCATCTCTAATCAATGGCCATCTTCATCTCCGATCAATGCCCATCTTCCTCTCCAATCAATGACCATCTTCCTCTCCGATCAATGACCATCTTCATCTCCGATCAATGGCCATCTTCCTCTCCGATCAATGACCATCTTCCTCTCCGATCAATGACCATCTTCATCTCCAATCAATGACCATCTTCCTCTCCGATCAATGCCCATCTTCCTCTCCGATCAATGGCCATCTTCATCTCCAATCAATGCCCATCTTCATCTCCGATCAATGACCATGTTCATCTTCATCTGCGGACCACAATTCAATGCATTACTCTGTGTGAAGTGTCAAAAGCTTGTGCAAAAGCCTATTCCAACTTGGATTCATTCAAATCACTTCAAAAAGCATGGAGCTTCAAAAAACCACTTCAAAAAGCTCAACCCCCAATATCTTCTCGCCATGGTTGACCCATTCCCAAAACGTCTATAGCGTATATAAGCTTGTCTATAACGTCTATAAGCTTGTCTACAACGTCTATAAGCTTGTCTATAACGTCTATAAACTTGTCTACAACGCCTATAAACTTGTCTACAACGCCTATAAGCTTGCCTACAACGTCTATAAGCTTGTCAATAACGTCTATAAGCCATACTTTTGAAAAGAACTAAATGAAGAAAAAGAAAGACTAAACTAAACTAAACGATGTTTGCTTTTTTGCTGACTTAATATATTAGCTTTATGTGACAGCATCAGAAGATTCAGTCTACAAGAAAGAAAACTCGATTTTGCTTTGTTTTATCTAAATAGTTTTGGCCAGCATTTAGCAGTTAGAAGTTAGCAGTTAGCAGTTAGCAGTTAGCAGTTAGCAGCTAGCAGTTAGCAGTTAGCAGTTAGCAGTTAGCAGTTAGCATTTAGCATTTAGCAGTTAGCAGTTAGAAGTTAGCAGTTAGCAGTTAGCAGCTAGCAGCTAGCATTTAGCATTTAGCAGTTAGCAGCTAGCAGCTAGCAGTTAGCAGTTAGCAGTTAGCAGTTAGCAGTTAGCAGTTAGCAGTTAGCAGCTAGCAGTTAGCAGTTAGCAGCTAGCAGTTAGCAGTTAGCTGTCTAGCTTTAGCTGTCTAACTTTAACTGTTTAGCTTTAACTGTTTAGCTTTAACTGTTAGCTGTTAACTGCTTAGCAGTTAGCAATGTCAAAAGTTAGCAAAAGCTAAATCTTTTGACTAATCGGTCACATCGGTCACATAAAACTCGTTTTCCAGTAGAAAAAAGTGGCGTCTAACTTAATCCGCTTTGTTATTTTTTGTTTCTTTCCTATTTTTTGTTATTGAAGCTTCGTTATTGAAGTTATTTTCCAAAAAAAGGTCTGTTTTTCAGCGTTATTTTCAATTTTGTAAAGAATGTTTAAATGAAATTGGATAAAACCCTTTCGGGGTTTAAAAGTTTAAAATACAGTCACCTCTCTCTCTCTAACGGAATGAAAAGGACGAGAAAAGTTTTCTATTATATAGAGCTTTCCGTTGTATAGAGCTTTCCGTTGTATAGAGAGATAATTTCAATTTTTGAGATCTAGTGGGAGATTAGAGTGTTGAGCTTCTGCAAAAGCTTGGAAAAGAAATAAAACGTCCGACCGTCCGTCCGTTCGTCCGCGCTGAGCGACCACGTAGAGGACGCCCGAAACCGTAAAATAATCAACAACCCGGCTCGGCTGGGTGCACTACTAGAGAGAATTACTATTAATATTAGAGAGAATACGGTATTATTATTATTATTATATTACCAGCTGCGCTGGGCGTTCTCTAGCTCAGCGTGGACGCAGAGCGCTGACGCTCAGCACGGACGCGGAGCGCTGACGCTCAGCACGGACGCGGAGCGCTGACGCTCAGCACGGACGCGGAGCGCTGACGCTCAGCACGGACGCGGAGCGCTGACGCTCAGCACGGATGCGGAGCGCTGACGCTCAGCACGGACGCGGAGCGCTGACGCTCAGCGCCGACGGACGGACGGACGGTCGGACGTTTTATTTCTTATAGTTAGAATGGTGTAATGTTGGCCGAGAGCAAAATTCCATTCCGTTATATAGAGTTTTCCTTAATATAGAGTTCCGGAGAGAGTCGACTGTATCAAAAAATCGGTTGAAGTTTTAAAAGCGGAGGGCGCTAGGGGAGGACACTAGTGGAGGGCACTAGCAGAGGGCACTAGCAGAGGGCACTAGCAGAGGGCACTAGTGGAGGACAATAGCAGAGGGCACTAGCAGAGGGCACTAGAAGAGGGCACTAGCAGAGGGCACTAGGGGAGGGCACTAGTGGAGGGCACTAGGGGAGGGCACTAGGGGAGGGCACTAGGGGAGGGCACTAGTGGAGGGCACTAGGGGGAGGGCACTAGGGGGAGGGCACTAGGGGAGGGCACTAGTGGAGGGCACTAGGGGAGGGCACTAGTGGAGGGCACTAGGGGAGGGCACTAGGGGAGGGCACTAGTGGAGGGCACTAGGGGAGGGCACTAGCAGAGGGCACTAGGGGGAGGGCACTAGGGGAGGGCACTAGGGGAGGGCACTAGGGGAGGGCACTAGGGGAGGGCACTAGTGGAGGGCACTAGGGGAGGGCACTAGCAGAGGGCACTAGGGGAGGGCACTAGCAGAGGGCACTAGGGGAGGGCACTAGGGGAGGGCACTATGATTATTATTATTATCATCATCACCATCATCAATATCAATACTTTATTCATTTAAAGGGGGGGTATTAATCGCGGCCGGGTGACGATAAAAATTTTTTTACGGCAACCACCTGTTTTTTTGTTTTAATATCGCTGATTTTATTATAAAAAGAATAAAAATCACCCGGCTAGAGTGATTTGATGGGTTTACAAATTTTTGGAGACACTGCAAGGCTTGGAGAAAAACAAGATCGTCACTCATCAGACACCTCAGCTAAAAGGCACCTATTTGAGAAAACTAAAACCATAAGCGACCACAAATGAAAAAAGATCTAATTGTGTCAATCAAAGCGCTGAAGACGTCCTACGATGGAGGAGATCCAGTCACTTTTGGTGAAGATGCGCTGGAAATTGATAAGATAGGAAGCCGATTTGTACTGCTGTACTTGAGCCGAACTGCTGTACTTGAGCGAAGATGAAAGTGAGCAAGAGGAAGAATTATAGATTAACAATTTATTTTTATTACTTTTTGTGCTTTTTATTTTGTTTTTAAATTTATCTGCAACTAAAACTCAATCGATCTAGACTGTGCTGAGGTGTCTGATGAGTGACGATCTTGTTTTCCTCCAAGCCTTGCAGCATCTCCAAAAATTTGTAAACCCGTCAAATCACTCTAGCCGGGTGATTTTTATTCTTTTTATAATAAAATCAGCGATATTAAAACAAAAAAACAGGTGGTTGCCGTAAAAAAATTTTTATCGTCACCCGGCCGCGATTAATACCCCCCCTTTAAATGAATAAAGTATTGATATTGATGATGATGATGATGATAATAATAATAATCATAGTGCCCTCCCCTAGTGTCCTCTGCTAGTGCCCTCCACTAGTGCCCTCCACTAGTGCCCTCCCCTAGTGCCCTCTGCTAGTGCCCTCTTCTAGTGCCCTCTGCTAGTGCCCTCTGCTATTGTCCTCCACTAGTGCCCTCTGCTAGTGCCCTCTGCTAGTGCCCTCTGCTAGTGCCCTCCACTAGTGTCCTCCCCTAGCGCCCTCCGCTTTTAAAACTTCAACCGATTTTTTGATACAGTCGACTCTCTCCGGAACTCTATATTAAGGAAAACTCTATATAACGGAATGGGATTTTGCTCTCGGCCGACATTACACTATTCTAACTATAAGAAATAAAACGTCCGACCGTCCGTCCGTCCGTCGGCGCTGAGCGTCAGCGCTCCGCGTCCGTGCTGAGCGTCAGCGCTCCGCGTCCGTCCGTAAAAAAGTGACAACGGAACATGTTTAATAAACTTGAACACACAGGAAACTTGAACAAAAGAAGAGAAAAATTGTAGAGACTGAAGCATAAAATTAATTCTATCTAAAATGAATTCTATATAAATTCTATTTAAATTCAAATTTAAATTCAAATTTAAATTCAAAGTAAAATAGAATCATCAAAAGACGAATGGTCAGCAGTTTCAAATATGTTTCGGAGAAGTTTGAGAGTAAGTGAAAGTACTCCAATATGAATGAATAATCCGGGTGAAATCTGAATAATCCCGGTGGAAATCCGATCCCTTTTCACACTCATCGCTTGTTCTGTACTTTCGGAAAGTGTTTCAAATCAGAAAAAGAGTGAAACATAGCTGAGAATATGAGAGAACCTTGAGAATTTCGTTTTTTAAGTAAATATTTATTAAGTAAGTAAATATCTATTAAATAAATATCTATTAAATAAATATTTATTATCATTTTAGTTATGTACAAAGAACGGTGGCCGTTTTCGTCTTTTCATCACCGCTTTCCATGTAAGAATAGGTGAACGAAGGCATTCCGGCACAGGCAGCACCGTGATCACCCTGGAAATTTGGATTGAAGTACATTGAACAAATTGAACTGCATTGAAGTGCATTGAACTACAATGAACTACATTGAACTACATTGAACTACAATGAACTACATTGAACTACAATGAACTACATTGAACTATTGGGTTGGGGAGAATGAGTCGGCGCCAAACTTTAAAGGGACTTTTTGCACACATAAAGCCTTTTTTAAACATACGTTTGGTTTCATCAAAAGGATCCACTATTTCTCTACAAAATCACTTTTGAGAGATTCCACAAAGCTTTTCTTTCGTCGAGTTTATGAACTTCGAAACGCAGCTGGTTAAAATGGCAAAGAGTCCGACTCATCATTTGAACAGTTTCTTTCACATAAACCTTCTTTGGTGTTTATATAAAAAAGATAGAGCACATTCAATTACTTAAGTTGCCAAATTTGCAGGAAGATCCCACCAATGGTTTTTTCTAGATCACAGTTTGTAGTTTTTGTGAAAAAATGGCTTTTTCTTGAGCGGAGGCGCTGTTTGAATTTTCTTTAAATGTCATTATTGTCTAGGAGGACAAGGGGAGACTCTCATTAGGAGTCCCTCCTTCCCCCTTACACTCATTTCTAATCTATTCATCTTATTGTATTACTGTAAATAAAGATATGTATCTTCCGGGTCTATGCAACTGCAGTGCAACTACAGGTCGGTCATTTCACAGGGACTCCCCTCTAATACGTTGGAGGAGTTGAGTTGGGTTGTCGGGGTGTTAGAGATGGCGGGATATCAAAAGGGATCCACTCTTTTTAACTTAACCCAAATTCTAGTCCACATCCGTTTACACCTAGGAACGTATATTGAATAAATTTTAGTTCAAAGTCCGGCAGTTTTCAATTCACCAACCCAATAATTAGAAAAAGAAGCTTTTGTGGCACAGATGAAGACTAATAAAAGATAGAATTTGTCTGGGAACATTTTATTTGACGCTTTCTATACGTCCTTGGGAGAATTGGGAGAAGAGTTAGGGGTTGATCATGCTACAGTGCTAAGGCACCTTCATACCCTTAGATTTAAATCGAAACTTGGAGCTTGGGTGTCCCATGACCTTAATAACCCCCAGAAGTGGCAGCGCGCCTCGATCAGTGCCGTTCATCTCTCACAATACAAAAGCAAATCCTTTCTTCCTCGAATTGTGACCGGAGATCAGAAATGGGTTTATCTGTGAACTTTCGAAGGAAGCGGCAATGGGTGGGGCCAGGCGAGAAACCCGAAAGTGACCCTAAGCCCGATTTGCACCAGAAGAAGTTGATGCTCTGCGTTTTCTGGGATATAGAGAGAGTGGTGTGCTGGGAGTTGCTGGATAGCAAGACGACCGTTAATGCAATCAAATACAGTGAACAGTTGAGAAAGGTGAATGAATCCCTGAAGAAGAATAGTCAAAGAATAGAATAAGAAGATATTTCCTTGAAGAATAGTCTAATCCAAGTCAAAGATCGTTCTCATCCACGACAACGCGCGCCCTCATGTTGCAAAAGTGACTAGCTCTAAAATCAACAGCCTTGTTTGGGAACTTTTGGCTTGAATAGACTTTTGGTGTCTTCCCCATACAGTCCGGACCTCGATGACTACTTGATTACTATTTATTCCGGATCATGAGTAACTGGTCCGGAATAAATATTGGGTTGGGGAGAATGAGTCGGCGCCAAACTTTAAAGGGACTTTTTGCACACATAAAGCCTTCTTTAAACATACGTTTGGTTTCATCAAAAGGATCCACTATTTCTCTACAAAATGACTTTTGGGAGATTCCACAAAGCTTTTCTTTCGTGGAGTTTATGAACTTCGAAACGCAGCTGGTTAAAATGGCAAAGAGTCCGACTCATCATTTGAACAGTTTCTTTCACATAAACCTTCTTTGGTGTTTATATAAAAAAGATAGAGCACATTCAATTACTTAAGTTCCCAAATTTGCAGGAAGATCCCACCAATGGTTTTTTCTAGATGACAGTTTGTAGTTTTTGTGAAAAAATGGCTTTTTCTTGAGCGGAGGCGCTGTTTGAATTTTCTTTTAAATGTCATTTTGTAGAGAATTAATTAACCATTCTACTGATATCAAACGCATATTATTTGACGAAGTCGAATAGAAGTTCTAGACATTTTTTTCATTTTCGGCGCCGACTCATTCTCCCCAACCCAATACCTTGAACTACATTGAACTACATTGAACTACAATGAACTACTATGAACTGCATTGAACTACAATGAACCACATTGAACTACTTTGAACTGCATTGAACTACTTTGAACTGCATTGAACTGCATTGAACTATTGGGTTGGTGAATTGAAAACTGCCGGCTATTGTCATATGTGACAGTTTGAGCCCTTTCTTCAAAAGAAACCCATTTTGGTGTCAATAGAAAAGTTGTAGAGAATCAAAAATGAAGCTTATAATCAAAAATGAAGCTTATATCCAGGTTTCCAAAAAGATACACTTAATAGTTTGACTTAAATTTGGTGTTTTCCGTGTGTTCTTTGTGCGGCCGCGTAATCGCTCATCGTCTGGCGGAGGGCTTTTACATAACCCTCTTCCCTCACCTTTTCCCAAAGTAATCTGGCCGGCTCCGAATCCTCAAATTGGACATTGACTTCTCCGCAATTGACGACTCAAATTGACGGAGGCGCTGTTTGAATTTTCTTTTAAATGTCATTTTGTAGAGAATTAATTAACCATTCTACTGATATCAAACGCATATTATTTGACGAAGTCGAATTGAAGTTTTAGACATTTTTTTGATTTTCGGCGCCGACTCATTCTCCCCAACCCAATAGTAATCAAAATGAGCTTGCGGGAGAACACTTCGATTCGGAGGAAGCAGTCAAAAATTGGCTTTGAAAGTTTTTCGATCCGAAACCAAGATCCTACCACGAAAGAGGAATCCGCAAATTGCCTGTAAAATGGGCAGAAGTCGTCAATAATAATGGAGGTTATTTGGAATGAATTGATGGTTTGATGTTGAATAAATTTTAGTTCAAAGTCCGGCAGTTTTCAATTCACCAATCTAATACATTGAACTGCATTGAACTAGATTGAATTACATTGAACTATTGGGTTGATGCATAATTATCCGGACTTCTTTTTGCGTGCTTGTATCTTTTTTGTTTTGAAAGCTTTTTGTCTATTTCTTTTTTTAAAATATTCGTTATTCTTTAGTGAACAAAATGCGTGTCGACAATCATATCCATCTTCGCCATATCATGCTCTACCACTTCGAAAAGGGATGGTCTGCCGCAGAGTCGTTTCGCGATCTCAAAGAACTTTTTGGTCAAGGAACAATTGGACGCGCAACAGTTTATGAATGGTTCGATCGTTTCAAGTCCGGTAACACAAGTGTTGATGATGAACCAGGAAGAGGACGGCCATCAGAATTCGATGACAAGGCACTTCTGGAAGCCGTTGAAGAATACGAAAGCCTGACAACCAGAATGCTGGCAGATGAATTCAATGTTGACCAGTCAACGATCGTGCGCCATCTCAAAAAGCTTGGCAAAGTATGGAAATTGGCTGGATGGGTCCCACACGAACTCTCCGTCCGCACGTTGAGCGCCATGTCGTCGAATCCATCGCTAGTAAGGGCTGGGATCTTCTTCCACACCCGCCATATTCTCCTACTGAAGCCCCAACGGACTACCACGTCAATCGATCGCTCAAAAATTGGCAAACAAATAAGATCTACAACGATTTGGATGACTTGATAGACGATGTTAAAGCGTGGATTGCCTCCAAAGATCGTTTATTCTTCGCTCGTGGAATCGATCGTCTTCCAAGCAAATGGCAATCAGTTATTGATGTAGGCGGTGAATATGCTCCAGAATAATCAATTAAACATATTTTTCTAACTATTTATGTTATTTTTTGTTAAATAAAATCATTTATAAAAGAAGTCCGGATAATTATGCATCAACCCAATAGATTGAACTAGATTGAACTGCATTGAACCACAGTAAACAAAAACTACAATATTATCTGACTCACTTTCACATTGGCTGCCACAATAGCTCCCTGGAATTTGGGATAAAATTGAGAGATCCTTGCTAGGGCTTTTCTCGCGGCTTCACTTGGAGCAGCGCCTTGTCGCATGAATTCCACCGTTTGATAACTGAAATCAAGAGTACTTTAGAAGAAATGAAGTCAATCCAAATTTTCCCTAGCGCCTTTTGAAGCATGTATTGCAGCAGATCTTTTTCAAAAACCTCTTTCAAACCAAACCTCTCAAAAGAACAAACTTTTCTTGTTTTTAGAATAGAAAGAATCAATTTCTTATCTAAGATAAAGACAAAAAAACAGCCTAAGACAAAAACAGTCAAAAAACAAACAATGTTAAAAACTTATTGAATAGATTGGCTTAGAAATATATTGATTTCTATAATTGTAACTTGTAAACAGCTCTTCAGTGCTTAAAACTGGTACTCAATGCTAGATTGGGCCGTAATTTTCAAAGCTCTTCCCACAAACCTCGGCAAGAACCTCATCATCACATCGCCGTCTCCTGTCGCCGCCGCTCCACCCACTTTCTGTGTCAAATAGGCTCCAGAGCCGGGAATCGATGAATCTCCGACTCTTCCTGGGATCTAGAAATTTGTCTGTCTTGTCTGGCTATTCGTTTGTCCGTCTGTCCGTCTGTCTACCCGTTTGTCCATCTGTCCGTCTGTCCGTTTGTCCATATGTCCTTTCTAATTGAGCAAACGGTATGTGTCAATCAGTGGATTGGTTAAAATAGCTTTTTTAAATGAACTGATAAGTCTTAGATAAACTGATAAGATGACTTATCAGCCTAAAAGATAGATTTCCCAAAAGGCAGGCATTGTTTAAACTGTCACAGAAAATGTAGAACATCTAGCGTAAATCTGCCTTAATTATGCTCTAGTTCCTAGTCTAGATTTAGCATGTTTGTCTGTCTGTTGTCTGCTTGTCTGTTCTAATGGCCTAAAGCAATGATCTGGTTTGATTTTTGGCTTTTCTGTGAGGTTAGTACTGTGATAAATGTATAAATGAGTACTGGGAAACTGTAGAGTACTCTACTGTACTCTACTGTACGAGATAGTACTCTACTGGACCGTATAGTACTCTACTGGACGGTATAGTACTCTACTGTACGAGATAGTACTCTACTGGACGGTATAGTACTCTACTGTACGAGATAGTACTCTACTGGACGGTATAGTACTCTACTGTACGAGATAGTACTCTACTGGACGGTATAGTACTCTACTGTACGAGATAGTACTCTACTGAACCGTATAGTACTCTACTGGACGGTATAGTACTCTACTGTACGAGATAGTACTCTGCTGGACCGTATAGTACTCTACTGGACGGTATAGTACTCTACTGATCGGTATAGTATTCTACTGTACGAGATAGTACTCTACTGTTCGGCAATGTACCCTATAGTACTCTAATGTACCCTATGGTACTCTATTGTTCGGTATAGTACTCTACAGTTCAGTATAGTACTCTACCAGAGTTACAAAAGGACTCTAGCATCTCTAGATCTCTAGATCTCTAAATCTCGACCCACTTTATGACTAGCGCCATTCGTCGAAGTTCCCGCAGAGATTTCTCCACTTTCATCAATGATTACCATGCCAATTGTATCGTGATTGTAGCTAAAAATGTTTACTAGATGTTTACTAGATATTACTTTAATTTACATTACATTTAATTCCTTTTTATTTAAAATAAATCTGAAATAGACGATTTTTACACGTTTTTACATGGTAGTGCACTTTCGCAAAAAAAGCCGTTACCCAAAATCTAGTCCCTCTTTTCCCCGGGCTGTCTCATCGGTCTCGTGGTGTAGTGGTTATCACATCTGTCTAACACACAGAAGGTCGGCGGTTCGATCCCGCCCGAGATCATTTTTGATTTCTTTTTTGATTTTGGATCAAGGATTTGTTTCGTTTTGGGATTTTTAAGATTAAGATCTTGTTTTTAAGAATTCTGGAAAGTTCTGGGTGAATTTTTGACTCAAAGAGAGCTAAAACGGACGAAATAAACGATGAAAACGGGAAAAATGAGCGAAAAACGATGACAATTGGCTCGTTTAAAGGGTTTAAAGGGAAAATTTACTTGAAAATACTATGGATGATATGCAAATTTAAGATTTACCGATCGATCACACGATTCGTAACGATTTCTGACTTCGAATTCGTCTTGAAAATCTCATTTCGATGATATGGACCACAAGTTTGTTTTGGATTTGGAAAAACATTCTGAAAAAAGATTTGAAATCGAAACCTCTAACAAATCTCTAACAAACCGTCCAAAAATTCGGCTGACAATTGTTGTTTTTCCATTTTTGAAGCATTTCGAGTGACGCATTCGTCGTTAAATCCGTCTCCGAAAAGCCCATCCTTAACGCGAATTGGGTGGCTGAAAAAGCAAGAGTCTGAGACTGGTTCTGGTTCAGGCTTTGGTTCTGGCTCTGATTAATATTCAATCCTCCCTCGTGCCTTCCAGATCTCTCATTTCTGCAAAAAAAATCAAATCTAGCACTTCCTCAATTCTAAATCTCGTTCCACAATGTCGAATGTCGGTATTGGTGTCAACTCTTGCGCACTTTTTTCCCATTTCCCCTTCACCAACCTCTTTCGTGCGTTCCAAATCGTCCATTTTTTTAGAAATTTTTACCTTGTTCCCCAACTAGCATCGTGTGTTCCGTGTAATTCATCACCGCCCATGCCACCCGTGCCGCGTCTTTCACCCGTCTCAGCTGAGCCACCCCCGACATTTTATGGCCGGGGCTGGAGTGGTAATCTTATTGTATTTTTTATCTACTCTACCAGTGAAACTACTAACTACTACTAACGTTTTTTTCACGCAATCTAGGCCCCGCCCCTTTTTGACAGACGGGACAGACGGGCAGACAGACAGACAGACAGACGGACAGACCAACAAACAAACAGGCAGAAAGACAGAGAGACAGGCAGACAGACAGAGAAGCAGACAGACAGACGGGCAGACAAACAGGCAGACAGACAGACAGACAGAGAAGCAGGCAGGCAGACAGACAGACAGACAGACAGACAGACGGACAGACGGACAGACGGACAGACAAACAGGCAGACAGACAGACAGGTAGACAGACAGACGGACAGACAGACAGTCGGACAGACAGACAGAGAGAGAAGCAGACAGACATACAGACAGACAGACAGACAGACAGACAGACGGGCAGACAGACAGACAGACAGACGGACAGACCAACAAACAAACAGGCAGAAAGACAGAGAGACAGGCAGACAGACAGAGAAGCAGGCAGGCAGACAGACAGACGGGCATACAGGCAAACAGGCAAACAGACAGACAGACAGACAGACAAACGTCTCTTCTGCTGTATATATAGTAGATAAAATGTTCGATTTTTTGGCTACCAGCCGAAAAACCGGTTTTTCCGGGTTTACGGGTCTTTCTGACTAGACGTTTCGGTCGCCGTGGGGCAGTCGGGAGCTCGCTTGTCTACGGCCCACACGATCCGAGTTAGAATCCCGGCTGTGTCGTGAGCTTTGCTATTTAAAAAAAATGGAATACGCGATGAACAACTACATAGAATTCTAAGCCTAACAAACTAAAAAGCCTGTAAATCGCGTACAGACGGACGGACAGACTTCTTCTGACGGGAATATGTCGAGCTGATAGGCTATTCAATCAAGAAAACCGTTTTACATGAATTTCAGCGGCTGAAATGAATCATACGTAGAGGACGGATAGACAGATAGGCAGACGGACGAACAGACGGACAGACAGACGGACAGACAGACGGACAGACGGACGGACAGACGGACGACCGCACAGACACTGCTCTTTTACATATAGTAGATGATTTCCCTCACCCATCAATGAGCAAAGCGTCCAGTGTCGTTTCTCCGTTCTCATCCGGCGATCCACCGTAACCAACTGTTGTATCACACTGGGATTTACGATTTTGCAAATTTAATGCGATTTTAATCCAAAGTTAGATATATTTCTAAGTAAATTTTTCAAATAAACCTACTTGCAAGCGTTCACACGTGGATAAACCCTCGACAAGCGAGGCCATTCGCGAGTTCCCATTTCTGTACGCTTCGAAAGCTAAAACGAAAGCACAAGTCATATACTTTATGCTTTTTTTATAAACTCACAACTTCTGGCGCACTGGTTTGACATAATTCTTAAGAAATGTGCGCCAGAAAGCGTGCGTTTTAGAAGATTTGAGCACAAAGTGCATCTAGATTTGCTTTTAGATTCTGCTCTTTTAATTTTAGATTATAATTCTTTCGCTTTCGCTTTCTGCTACGCTTTCTGCTTTCGCGCAAACGCTCATCCTTTGGCGCATCGTTTTCGTAAGATAAAGCACCTTGAGTTAA